AGCAGTTTGGAAAACCATTCGAGAGAATGTAAGATGCCCTTGACCCACTCAGCTCGTGCACTTTGCTGGTCTCAAATGGGTTCTCCCCCAACAAATTTAAAAACAAAAGAATAAAAAATGAAGTGCTGCCACAAGCAGCAGAACTGTGTCCCTTCACATCATCTCAGTGGCTCTAGTGGCTATAGTATTCACAGCCCCCTCCTCCCATTACTACTGTGTGAAGAACCACCTCGTGCTGACCTGCTAGAAAGCAGATCAGAGCTCAAAGAACAGCTAACGTCTTCCTGCAAAAAGCTAAGAATTTGTGTGCCTCATCCAGCTGCCAAACTTCAAGACACTATCAAGTTTGCTTGAAGCCACCCAACAAGGTCAAAGAGGACAGGCCACATGAGACTTAAGGGATTGCACTACTTCCTTTGTAAGCTAATCTAAAAACAACCAACCACTGCATTGACCATATATTTCCTGTTAGATCTCACATTTGAAGCCTCAGTTACTATAACTACCCAGGCCTGGCTCACTTCAGAAATAAAACCGTTTTTGGCTGACAAGGCCTTAAAGCTGGATGTAGGTCTACAGACACCAAAAGTACAGCTTGAATGTTTGCACAAGAAGTGAGGCCTGTACATCTCAAACAACCAACCACTGCATTGACCATATATTTCCTGTTAGATCTCACATTTGAAGCCTCAGTTACTATAACTACCCAGGCCTGGCTCACTTCAGAAATAAAACCGTTTTTGGCTGACAAGGCCTTAAAGCTGGATGTAGGTCTACAGACACCAAAAGTACAGCTTGAATGTTTGCACAAGAAGTGAGGCCTGTACATCTCTCCTGGTGCTGTTTTTTTTTGTGCAGTGTCCCTCCTGTCACTTTATTTAACCACACCATGTGCATGCACAGACTAGACACACAATATCTCTTAAGAGGTTTTAAAGTCAAGATCTGTGTCTTCAATGTAGACATCTCCTATAACAAAGTAAAACCACCTGTAAGCTTGTCATGAATCTCCTGTAGAAGAAAACCCACCCCAAACCAGCTCATTCTGCTGTTGCACTGCCTCATAAACTCAAGCTCTGTCACAAGGCAGATACCAGGGAACACACAAACTCATCATCTGCTTTAATCACTCATCTTTGTGGTGCAAGCTGCTACTTATGTTCTGTGAGGTCACTCAACCACATGATTTTCAGTCTAACAGGAAATGTGCACTGCTGAGAAGTCCAATCTTCACTTTCCTTTGTCCCTGAAAATGAGGACTGGATCCTTCTGTATCACTTTGGGATTGCAACAGCATTATAAAAATGAACTCAAGGCTGCACAGTACAAGCAGGTACATGTTTGAATTTAAAACAAGCTGGGATGTGCCTTAAGAAAATGGAATACATATGAAGTCATAAGAAAGTTGTCTTTGAAGACTAGTATGAAATAGTGGCCAATTTCACAGGAGACTGAAGCAGGCTAAGCTTTGCTGACAGGGGATGTTTTAACTTAATGGCATTAGTGTTCCCTTCTCATCAAAGACATCAACAAGATCTTGAGCCGACCACTTGTCTTGGGTTTCTAGAAGCCCATCCTTGTAGGATGTGACTCCTGTACAACCCAAACTCCAAGCAGGTTCAAAAGACAGAAGAAAGAAAACAAATGAGCAATTTAAATGTAAGCTTTGCTTCCCTAGGAAACCATGCTAATAAAAATCACCTGAAGATTGGGAAAGCTTCTTAATTGTTGGAAAGTTGAGCAACTGTAGTTACACAAAAGATTTATGAGCTACCTGTCCTAAAGGATCTTGTCCTTATTTCAACCTACTCTTGCATGTGATACAGATAAGTGACATTTGAGATGACTAGAGCAGTGTCCCATTCAAATGATCAGTTGGTGCTGCAGCTTGGGATCCAATAAAAACAGCTTCATTATTTCTTGATAGGACAACTGCCCATTCAAGAGGTTAAAGCAACATAGGCAGAAGGATTTCATTATTGTCACACACCTGGATTTAAGGCCTCCCTCCCCAAAAACACTGAAGATGTTATTAAACACAGCCCAGTGTAAGGCTGCTGTAAAGAGGGGAGGAGTTCCCTATCTGCTACAATGCAACAGACACTAACAATTGGATAATAATAATAATTGGATAGTAATTGGATGCTAATGAGTCTTATCCTTACTTATGGTAATTTGTTTGGCCACTCAGCACTTAGAGGCAAGTTATGACTAGATTCAGCTGATCTGTTTAAATAATGCACAGGCCATAGGTCACTACAGTTGGGCAATGTATTTAGCTCAAAGAGTCATTTCTGGAGGGACAGGGGATCCAAGCAGCCTCTTCACTAGCAGGAAGAAACACCAGCATTCTGTACCATGGCCTCAGCTCTTCAGCAGAAACTGCTGAGCCTTCACCTAACCCACAGCTTCCAAAACATGAGAGCACCTAGAACTGCCAGAATCCAGCTGGACAGAACAGCTCTGTTTGATCCCTCAGAAACATGTCTAAGAGACTCAATTCAAGCAGCTAAATCACCAATTCACTAACCCACAAGAAATAGCCTGTTGATACACTGAACTTAACTGCTGTGAGTCAGACTGCAGAGCCCAAAGCTTTCCAAATTGCTCCCTGTTTCAGAGCTCCCTCCTCCTCCTCCATCCAGCAGTAGGCACACACAGTTTGTGCATCACCATGAACTTTTGCACCGAGAGTGATCGATAGTAACCTCTCCATGGGAAGATAACCAGGCCTTTCTAAGACCAGCATTACCAAACAGGCTTACTCACACCAAACAGATATGCCACACAGCTTGTTTGCAGATCTGTCTCCAGAGACACTCCTAATCCTTCTCTGATTTCTAAGGAAACAAGGACAGACTCCAAAACCCATCATTTGACTGTTCTGAATGGACTAATCTCAGCATTTTAGAGGCACTCAGAGGCACACTTAAGATCCATGTCCTCTCTAACCTTTTAAGACCTGCCCATGCAGTTTCTATTATGCTCGTTCCCAGGGGAGCTTTCCTGCAACCAGTACTACCTGATACCAATATCCCATTAAGCAGAACACTTTTGTATTTCTTTATGTATCTCCAGCTGAAAACATCTAAAACTAATCTTATTAAGGAATCCCAGCTTTTGGCAGGGGATTATTGCCTGATCTAGTCACCTAGATCATCTGCTGACTCTGTGCCAGGACCAAATTAGTTGTTTAATTACAACACTGGAGCTGATTCAAGGAGAAGTGATATCTAAGACTCAAGTTCAGCTACACTGTCAAAGTGAACTGATAGGCTGAATAATTACAAGATAGCAATGAATTAAGGGACAGAAGAACTCTTCTGGCAGTCTCAAAGCTAGGAGTATTTCCACACCACTATAAAATTGGGTGTACCCGAGTCCAAACTATTCACTCTTAGAACTTAAGCAATGAGAGTCTTCAGAGGAATTGATGAGGCAAGAAAAAAATTAGCCTCAACTATACAAATGGAAGAGTCAGACCTAATGTAGCCCTACAGTCAATACATGGATTAAAATTATTCCTCTAAGCAACTTCAGATCAGCCAATGCATTTGAGTTTTAATAAAGGATTAAAGGCCCAGAAGTTTCTGTAGAATGCTCACACACTTCTGGAAGCAATTCAATTGGGCCTTGACACATTAACACTTCAGTTAAAAAGCAGATTGTGTTTGCTATAATCAGAGAGGATCAAGGGTGGGTAATCACGTGAACGATTTAGTTTTTCTACAGAAGTAACTGCCACAAACGCTACCATATTGACCTGCATACAATATATTGTCTTGACCTGCAGCAAACATGCAACCTTGTCTAAAACTGTCCCCAACACACAGGGTGTACAGTACAAAAAGGCTGTTGCCAGACAGCAGATGATTAGCCTCACACTGCCCTTGCACACATCAGCACTAATGCCTTAGAAACAACTCTTCAGAAGCGAATAGCCAGGACAAAAGAAAGAGAAAAGCATCTATGGCTGCTTCTTTTTGAGACATTCTCCCACCTCAGCTGTGCTTCCACAGAAAGCCCTACCTGGTCACATAGGGAGACTGAAATGCATGAAGAGGTCACTGCCTGCAACACAGGAACACCTCAGCCTCTGGGTCACAGAGATGCTGATTTGACCCCACAGTGCAGAGGAATTCCTGACCAGAGGGATGCATCTTCCTCCCATGCCTCAAGGCATCAGACTCGTGTCTCCTACTACCTCCCTGCAGTGCTCCCGTTGTGCCCATCACTGTGTTGAGCAAAGAGTCTGCAAACACCTGCAACACTTCTGCTCAACCCACAGCAACCTTGGCAGGTAAGATGCACCTAAATCTTAACCAACCAGGCTTTCTCCCTGCTGTCCTTCACTGCATTTTGTACAGGATTAAATCCACACTCCGCTGTTCTAAGCCAACTCACCAGGCACACACAACCCACACAGACCATGCAGGAAAGCTCAGTACACTTTCAAGAAATCTACCCCAGAACGTGTACTTGCCACACACTCACATTATCTCACCTGCAGTGAGTGCATCTCAGAGGTGTTAAGATGAAAGGCCTTTAAAGACAGGCACACCCACCTACCAAGTGCTAATTATTACTACTATAGACTTTACCCACAAACTTGCAAGAACTCATATCCATGCACAACAGTTAACATGTTTCCGTGCATAAAAAGGTACAATCATGACTGTTTTCCAGTAGCCACCAACTCCCTGCAATTTTATAAGAGTTCCATTTGATCCAATTAAGATTACTGTACCACCAACAGCTTAAAATCCTAGTTCTCCAAGTAAGTTTGTGGGATGACTTTCTCTCCTACGTATTTTTCACAAGAAGAAATCTGATTTAACCTAAACTTAAACTTGCTCCAGCTCCTGTTGCAGTTGAAAGGCTGTGAAAAGCCATGAAGTAGTGACAATACTCAGAAGCATATCAGTAAGAATTCTCTCCCTGAGTCACTGGCACCAGGGTTTTAGAAATTATATTTACATGGCACGTTATGATAAAATGGTTTAACTGTTTGCTTAATCTGGCTCCCAAAGAGAAAGGAAACAAACTGCAGTTTCATTGCTAACCTCCTTATCACCAGGCTGGAATGTGGTACAGCATAATCCAGGAATTACAGACAGTTACAGAGTCCACTCATAGTGCCACACAACTGTCCCTGCAAACCAAGGGATGGGACATGGCACTAGTGACCTCTCCACAAAGCCAACTGTAAGCCACATAACTTTTAAGGTGACCACAAAACAAATGAACCCAAACCCAACTGTTTGATGTTCTGTTTTCTGGAAGCCAAAGTTGAGATTGGATCAAAGGGAGCTGTTCTGACACAACCCCAAAGGAGCAGACAACTATTCTCTGTGGCATCCTACCTCCACCTGTCTCTCAGAGGGACACACCAGCTTAGCCTGGTACGTTAAAGACCACTGTGTGCCACCTTGAGCAAGCCACAAACTTAAAGCTTGTAAAGGAAGTGAGATGAAGTCCTACAAAAAGCATTTACCAGGATTACTCCAGTGTTGCCAAGAGGCATTTACAGTATTAACGCATCTCCTCCTCCTCTTCACACACACACATTTGTCCTATGACAATTAGTCAGGTTTTTTAGATCCCTGCAAACACTGCTACACACTGCCTCGGAGGGAAAGTCCTGCAGGACAGCACTCCAAGCAACCCACACCTGCCGAAGGGGTGCAGCTGGTACACAGGGAGCTCCACCTTCAGCCCTTCCAGAGGCAGGAAAACCAAAATGAAGGAGTAAAGAGGAAAGCTAGAAAGGACACCTTAGAGGAGATCCCATGCCAGAGGTGTAGCTAATCCCGGGGGAGTGAGTCTCACCATTGCTTGCGTTTTGAAATGACCTCTCGCTCTCAGGTCTCCTCTGTGTTTCCTCATTCTCAGGGGCCTTGCAGGCTGCCGCGGAGCCAGACTGGCGTTTTCTGACACAGTCTTCACCTGCCATGGTTACCGCGCTAGGTGGGAAAAGGAGAGCAGATTGTTAATGACAAAAGAAACTCATTTACTCTTTACATTGTTCAATGATAAATCTACATAGCCTTCTAGCTAAAGTTCGACTTTCTTCCCTCCAATATGAATTCAGAGCAAGGACAGGGGAAATTCAGCACGTGCTTGTATTAGTCATTTACTGTGGATCACACTTCCTCTCCCTTCCTACAAGCAGTAAAGGAACACAGTAACAAAGCAAGTTCCCCCACCATTACC